AATTAACTTTCTCTTCTAAAATGGTTTGTTTCCAAATTGCAACAAGCTTCCTGCCAATGGAAGTTTAAAAAGTAAAAGATTGCATAGCTTGAAGGAAGAGAGATGTGTTATAGTTTCTACCAAAACAATTTTAAAACCAGAAATCAAAGGAAATGCCTTTCATGTGCAGATTTGAATCTGAATCTTGAATTCCAGTTCACATGAAAGAATTAATCATAACACCTTTTTTTCCTTAGGTAATTTTGTGAGAACAATTTTGCAGCCTGCTCTTCAGTTAATTGCCAGTGAAGATGATGATAGCATTTCAGAGACAGTGGACCAGGGATTTTCCCACTTTTCTGAAGCACCAACAAAACAAGGGGCTTCATATAACAAAATGTCCCCAGATAAGGACACAGGAGAGAGCTGGACACTGAATTCAGAGAAGCCGAGGCGGCTGGGATCAGCGAAGCAAAGCGATCCTGATCTTTCATTTTTAGTTGTGAAGAATAATGTGGGAGAAAAGCATCTTTTTGTAGATCTAGGTAAGTAACATTGACAGTTGTTTCTTTCTGACTGCCCTGATGTCCTCTTGTGAGACACCTGTCCATGCTCACTGTCACTGTGCACAGGGATCTCATTACCATCTCATTATCATCGCGCTCCCCAGCGACAGTGCAGGTCAGGAACAGAATGTGATCAGCCCGCTTAGGCTTGGGGAATCCACAAGGCTTCAGTTCAGAGATCTTGGGGCGATCCCTGTGGAACAGAAGCCCCAGCCTGGCCTGGGCTCTGAACGAGAGTGCCTGTGGCATGCTCTGCTCCAAGTGTCCAGGGAGTTCTGTGAGGGAATGGGGAGACCTGCACCCTCCAGCATGCCAAGAGTTTAAAGCAGATTCAGTCAACTTGAGAAACAATATAAAAATGGTACTCACATCACAAAGCAAGGCTGAGCTTGCTCTTCCCTGAAGAGCTTTGTGGTGGAGGCAGGGCAGGCTTTTGATCCTGGCCGGGAGCCTCGAGTTAGCCTTCTTTCACAGACTGGTGACTTCTGCACCCAACCGTGCTCTGTTTGGGTCTCTGAACCTGAGTGTGTAGAAGGCTCTAGTGTGGCAAGACTTAAGCCTGATGTAATATACAACCTAATGAAGTTCTAACTTGTGATTTGGAAAGCTGTAAGAGCATTTTTGCCATTGAGCACTTCAGAGAGCTGCAGTGCACACAGGTTGAGGGCAAGTAGGCTTTAATTTGGGGCAATGTTTTCGGGCTGACAGTGGTACCAAGGTTAGAGAATTGTTCCTGATTATCTTTCCAGTGCCCCTGAATCAAGTGCCAGAATTTGGAAATCTAAGTCGGGTAAGTGCAGTGTGTCAGTTTTGGTAGGCCTAGGATCAAGCAAAGATAATGCATAACAGTAAGAGCAACATTATCCAATAAATATGCTGTGCCTCTAACCCAGTGTTGAAGTCCCTAAACAGAATACCCCCGTTCATGACCGTTCTATCCTTGAAGTCACATTACTGGGAAATAATAGGAATTAGGAAGAAACAACAGGAAAACAGTCAGGAAATTTCTCTGGTATTCTTGAATGACACATTTTAACAATATATATTTACATATTAAAAGAGGATGAGGAAGTATTTTACTTGAACTATCCTTTGAAAGTTTCAGAAATTTAATAGTACATGCAGATTTTTGTTGTTTAAATTTTATCTTATTGTAGTTCTATAGTATGTCTTGAAATCAGGTATTGTGATACCTCCAGCTTTGTTCTTTTTAAAAAAGATTTATTTATTTGAGAGGCAGAGTTACAGACAGAGAGGTCTTCCATCCACTAATTCACTCCTCAGATGGTTGCAACGGTCAGAGGTGAGCCAATCTGAAGCCAGGAGCCAGGAGCTTCCTCTGGGTCTTGTTCTTTAAGACTTCCTATTAATAATTGAATTTCATTGCTGCTGTTGGTCTGTTCAGGTTTTCTATGTCTGCATGGTGCAATTTGAGTAGTTGTCCAGAAATTTATTCATTTATTCTAGATTTTCTAATTTTTTTAATTGTATAGTTTCAAATAGTTCCTACTCTGGTTTGAGTTATAATGTGTTTTTTACCTCTGGGTTTATTTTAGTCTTCTCTCATTTTCTGGTTACTCTTGTTAAATGTTTTTGGATTTTTGTTCATCTCTTCAAAAATCCAAATTATCATTGATCTTTTGTATTTTTATTTTCTCGGATTTACTTCTTTGACTTTTGTAATTTTGTCCTATTAACTTTGGAATTGCTTTTTTTTTTCAGTTACCTATGATACATCATTAGGGGTGTTTTTTTTTTTTATGTAACTGCTTATTGCTGTAAACTTCTTAGTACTGCTTTTGCTTCATGCCATACATTTTGTTGTATCCTATAGATTTGTTGTGTTTCTATTTTTGTTTCAAGGAATTTTAATATTTCCCTTTTGATTGCTTTGATTCACTCCCCAAATGACTGCAATGGGCAGAGCTGAGCCTATCTGAAGTCAGGAGCCAGGAGCTCCTCTGGGTCTCACACGTGGATGCAGGGGCCCAAGGACTTGATCCATCCTCTGCTGCTTTCCCAGGTGCATTAGCAGGGAGCTAGATAGGAAGTGGAGCAGCTGGGACTCGAACTGGTGTCCATATGGGATGCCAATGCTGCAGGACAGGGCTTTAACCCATTGCACCACAGCACTGGCCTGCCCCATATATTTTTATAATTCCTAAAGTTAATTTTGCTGTTCATTTCTAGTTTTTATTCCATTGTGGTCAGAAAAGACAAATGTTATGATTTTGATTATTTTTTTTTCTTGAGACTTGTTTTGTGGCATAGTGTATGGTTTATTCTTGAGATCTTAATATGTTGATGAAAGGAATGTGTACTCTACAGCTGTTGGATGAAATGTTTTATAAATGTCATTAGGTTCACTTAGTTTATTGTACAGTTTAATTATTCTGAAAGGCAGGAAGAGACAAAGAGAGCGCTCTCCTATCTTCTAATTCATTTCCTAAGTGCCCACAGTAGCTGAGCTGGGCCAGGTCCAAGCTGGGATCCAGGAAGCTAATCTGGTCTCTTATTTGGGTACAGGGATCCAACTACTTGAGCCATCACCTGTTGCCTCCCAAGGTACGCAATATCAGGAAGCTGGAGTCAGGGGTGTATGTAGTACTCAGCCCCAGGCACTCTGCTATAGGATGCTGGTGTCCCAAGAACGTCTCAACTATTGCACCAAATGCTTGCCCCTGTGATATAGTTTAACTATGATATTTCTTTGCTGATTTTTCTTTTGGTCTGGATGATCTTTCTACTGATGGAAACGGTGTTTATGTCCCTCACTATTGTTGTGTTGAGGCTTATCTCTCCCTTTATATCTGATGTTTGCTTTATGAAATTTGGCACTGTAGCCTTGCAAAAACACTTAAAGTCATCTTTTTGATGAATTGATCCTTTGATCATTACATAATGACTTTCTTTGTCTCTTTACAGTTTTTGTCTTAAAGTCATATTGTCTGATGAGTACAGTTATTCCTGCTCATTTCTGGTTCCATTTGCAGGGGATATCTTTTTCCATCCTTTCACTTTCAGCCGGTGTCTTTCTTTATTGGGGATTTAAGTTTCTTGTAGGCAGTATATCACTGAACTTTTTTTGTATTTTTTTTAAGATTTTATCTATTTATTTGAGAGACAGTTACAGTCAGAGAGAGGGAGAGACAAAGAGAAAGATCTTCCATCTGTTGGTTCACTCTCCAAATGGCTGAAATGACCAGAGCTCGGCCGATATGAAGCCAGATGCCTGGAGCTTCTTTCGGGTCCAAGTGCTTGGGCCATCTTCTAATTTTCCAGGCCCTACCAGAGAGCTGGATCGGAAGAGAAGCAGCTGGGACACAAACTAATGCCCATGTAGGATGCTGGTGCTGAAGGCAGAGGCGTAGCCTACTGTGCCACAGTACTGGCCCTTGGACTTTTTTTTTTTTAACCCATTCAGCCATGTGTATCTTTTATTTAGAGAAGTTAGTTCATTTAAATTTAAAGTTATTTTTTGGTAAGTTATGAATTAGTCCTTTTTTAAAAATTTCTTTTTATTTTGAATATTCTTTGTTTTTTTTCTAGTATTTTTAAACTTTTATACAGTTTTTATGGTGATAATTATCTTTCTTTTGCTTTTCTCTTTAGCACTTCCTTAAGCATTTTTTGTAAGGCAATCTGGTGGTGATGAAGTCTGTTTTTCTCATCTTAGTAAATATTTCTTGTTCATTTGTGAAAGAGCTTTTCCAAGTATAGTGTTCTTAATTGACAGTTGTTTTTTTTCTTCAGAACTTGTAATATATCACTTTCCCTCTTGGCTTGTAAGGTTTCTTTTGAGGAATCTGCTGTTGGTCTCGTGGGAACTCCCTTAAGTGTGACTTGAAGCTGTTCTCTTGCAGATTGTAGAATTCTCTCTCCATAGTATATATATTTTTTATTTATTATTATTTTTTTTTTTTTTTTGACAGGCAGAGTAGACAGAGAGACAGAGAGAAAGGTCTTCCTTTGCCGTTGGTTCACCCTCCAATGGCCACCGTGGCCGGCGCACCGTGCTGATCTGATGGCAGGAGCCAGGTACTTCTCCTGGTCTCCCATGGGGTGCTGGGCCCAAGCACTTGGGCCATCCTCCACTGCACTCCCTGGCCACAGCAGAGAGCTGGCCTGGAAGAGGGGCAACCGGGACAGAATCCGGCGCCCCGACCAGGACTAGAACCCGGTGTGCTGGTGCCGCTAGGTGGAGGATTAGCCTATTGAGCCGTGGTGTCTTTGATGAATCAAAGTTACTACCTTTAAATAATAGTAATAGTCTGATTTATTAGTGTTTTCCTCTGTGGTTATTTATTGGAATTCTGTAAAATATCTTTGCTTATCCCAGGGTCTTGAAGATATTCTGCTTATCTGTATTCACTTTTTTAAAAAATTAATATTTAAAAATTTTTTTGAAATTTATTTTTAAGGAATACAAATTTCATAGGTACAACTTTAGGAATATTGTTACTCTTCTCACCATATCAGCCCTCCCACCCACACTCCCAACCCTTCTCTTCCTTCTTCTCTCCATGCCAGTACCATTCTCCATTAAGATTGATTTTCAATTAACTTTGTACACAGAAGACCAACTCTATGTTAAGTAGATTTCAACAATTTGTGTGTGCACTTGTGCGTGCACACACACACACACCAACCTGGGAAACTGGTTTTACAATTAATTCTCAATACAACTCATTGAGGACAAAGGTCCTGCATGGGGAGTTAGTGCACAGTGACTCCTGTTGTTAATTTAACAATTAACACTCTTATGTATGACGTTAGTGACCACCCGAGGCTCTTGAAATGAGCTGTCTGGGCTATGGAAGCCTTTTGAGTCCACAAACTCCGTCAGTATTTGGACAAGGCCATAAGCAAAGTGGAAGTTCTGTCCTTCCTTTAGATAAAAGTACATCCTTCTTTGATGGCGACTTCTTTTCACTGGGATCTCTCTCACAGAGATCCTTCATGTAGAACATTTTTTGCCACAGTGTCTTGGCTTTCCATGCTTGAAATGCTCTCATGGGCTTTTCAGCCAGACCAGGAAGACTTAAGGCTGATTCTGAGGTCAGAGTGTTATTTAAAGCGATTGTCATTCTATGAGTCTGTTGTGTGGACTGCTTCCCATGTTGGACATCCTCTCCTTTTTAATTCTATTACCAGGCACTTGATCCTGCCTATATGTTCACTTTAACAGTTAATATGATCACTTCAACAATTAAGATGGCATTTTTACCACCAAGTTTAATGGGATTTGGAGTCCCTTGACAAATTTTTAACTGTATCCTTAGAAGTAAGTCTGTAGGAATGTATGCAGAACTATATATATTAATAGGTAAAAACATCCTCCTCCCTCCCTTATTCCCACTCTTATGTTTTACTGATATCTATTTTCAATTGACTTTATATACGTAAGATTAACTCTATGTTAAATAAAGAGTTCAAATAGGATGCAGAAAAAAAACCCAAAGCCAGGAGCCAGGTGCTTCCTCCTGGTCTCCCATGCGGGTGCAGGGGCCAAGCACTTGGGCCATCCTCCGCTGCCTGCTGGGCCACAGCAGAGAGCTGGACTGGAAGAGGAGTAACTGGGACTAGAACCTGGCGCCCATATGGATGGTGGCACTGCAGGCGGAAGATTAACCAAGTGAGCCACGGTGCTGCCCCCCCCAGGGTTTTTATAGTCCCCAGGCAAACAAGTATTACGTCGTCTGCATCAAGGATGGCCCACCTTATTGATTGCCCCCAACTGGTCCTGGCAGACCAAGGACTGCCCGGTGTCAGGTTTCAGCACAGAGAAGCATCCTGGGCCTAGCCAGTTCCTTTGTCTTGTGAGAAGCCTGTCATGGCGTGGCTCTGGCCTCTCACAATATGGGATGCAGACGCCGCAAGCAGAGAACTAACTTACTGTGCCACAGCACAGGCCCCCATTTATTTTCAATTGAAAAGTTGATAGAAAACTGTCTAGCTTGTACTTTCTGGAAATAGCATTCTTCCATGTCAATTCTAAATTATCTTCTTTTATATACTGATGTAATTTTGTTACTAGCTATACCAGAGTACCTCAAAAGGCTCATGGAAAATCAGACTAAAAAATAAATTTATTTTGGTGCAAACAATTCTTGAAATCTGTGCTTGCAAGGGTTCTTCAGAATCTTCATGGAAATTGCACAGATTTCATACATACTACTTTACTAATTTTTGATGTAGGAGTTTATACAAGAAATAGGAACTTCTGGCTGTATAAGTCATCAAAACTAGGAAAGCATGTGGCTTTGGAGATTGCTGAAGATAACAAATTCTTTCCTAAACAATCAAAAACGATTCCTGAAGAAAACCAGTATTTCCTCTCTTCTTTTGTATGCAATGTCAGGTATGTAGGCAAAAATTAAACTGTTGTATACTCCTGATTATTCAGTCATGAATGCTATTGCATATTGCTAAAAAGTGAATTGTGTAAATTCATCCTATCTCAAGAAAATGACTCTCCATTCTTAAAATACTCTTTTCTGAGATTTTTAGCCACTTAGTTTCCTCTCTGTATCTTTTTTTTTTTTTTTTTGACAGAGTGGACAGTGAGAGAGACAGAGAGAAAGGTCTTCCTTTGCCGTTGGCTCACCCTCCAATGGCCACCGTGGCCGAGGCATTATGACCGGCGCACCGCGCTGATCGATGGAAGGAGCCAGGTGCTTCTCCTGGTCTCCTATGGGGTGCAGGGTCCCAGTACTTGGGCCATCCTCCACTGCACTCCCTGGCCACCGCAGAGAGCTGGCCTGGAAGAGGGGCAACCGGGACAGAATCCGGCAGCCTGACCGGGACTAGCACCTGGTGTGCCAGCGCCGCAAGGCAGAGGATTAGCCTAGTGAGCCGCGGCGCCGGCTCCTCTTTGCATCTTTTAAATGATTATATCACGTATTTTTCAGTTTTTCTAAAATGAATATCACTTTTATAAAGAATGAAAACAACTACCTGAGCTGGACCGGAAGAGAATCAGCTGAGACGTGAACCTGGCCCATGTGGGATGCTGGTGCTGCAGGTGGAGGCTTAGCCTGCTACGCCACAGCGCTGGCCCCACTTCCTTTATTTTTTAAAGTGGACATAATACCACCTATTTTCAGAATTTTTAGTAGAATTAAATATGTTAAAACCGTTCACATAAAATACTTAAAACAGTGCCCAGCACATGTTAGCATCTCGGGAGATGTCAGTTGGCACTAGTGGTGGATCTGAGAGTCTAGGAGTTGTATCAAAATTGTGTATCTCCTGCTGTGTTCCAATATTGATCCTACAGACAATGGAGGGCTCTTCCGTCGAATAGGATTACCTCAGGGCCCACGCTGTGGTACAGCTGGTAAAGTTGCTGACTACAGTGCTGGCATCCCATATGGGTGCCAGTTCAAGTCCCAGCTGCTCCACTTCAGATCCAGCTCCCTGTTCATGTGCCTGGGAAAGCAGGGAATGATGGCCCAAGTCCTTGGGCCCTGCACCCACATGGAAGACCTGGATGAAGCTCCTGTCTCCTGGCTTCAGCCGGGTCCACCCCTGGCTGTTGTGGCTCCTTGGGGAATATACCAACAGATGGAAGACCACTCTCTGTATCTCTCCCTTTCTCTATAATTCTCACTTTCAAAGAAATAGATTTTTTTTCTGGTGCTGTGGTACAGCGGGTTAAAGCCCTGGCCTGAAGCGCCGACATCCCATATGGACGCCGGTTCTAGTCCCTGCTGCTCCTCTTCTGATCCAGCTCTCTGCTGTGGCCCATGATAGCCGTGAAGATGGCCCAAGTCCTTGGGCCCCTGCACCCACGTGGGAGACCCAGAAGAAGCTCCTGGCTCCTGGCTTTGGATCAGCACAGCTCCAGCCATTGCGGCCACCTGAGGAGTGAACCAGTAGATGGAAGACCTCTCTCTCTCTGTCTCTACCTGTCTTTCAAATAAATAAAAATAAATCTTTAAAAAAATGTAGGATTACAGGAGCCGGAGCTGTGGCATAGCGGGTAAAGCTGCCACCTGCAGTGCTGGCATCCCATATGGGCACCGGTTCAAATCTCGGCTGCTCCACTTCCAATCCAGCTGTCTGCCATGGCCTGGGAAAGCAGCAGAAGATGGCCCAAGTGCTTGGGCACCTGCACCCGTTGGTAGACCTGGAAGAAACTTCTGGCTCCTGGCTTCAGATCGGCTCAGCTCCAGCCGTTGCAGCCAATTGGGAAGTGAACCAGCAGATGGAAGACCTCTTTCTCTCTCTCTCTGCCTCTCCTCCTCTCCCTGTGTAATTGACTTTCAAATAAATAAATAAATCTTTTTTTTAAAAAATAAAAATTATCTTACTTTTCTTTTGTGTGTCTAAGTATATACCAGATATTTTTATTTCAAGGAGCCAAGGCTAAATTTTTTGATTCAAATGTGCCTTTTCTTTGAGTAAATTTTAATGTTTTTCCCTTTAATCTTTTTTTCTTCATATTTTGCTCTTATTCACGGTTTTTTCTTTTTTATTCACGGGTTTATAACAAATTTCAAAGGCTCCATGTGTTTGGGGAATAGTACGGTAGTTCATTCCCCAAATGCCCACAACATCCAGGGTTGGGCCAGGCTGAAGTTGGGAGCCAGGAACTCAATCTGGGTTTCTCATGTGGGTGGCAGGGACCTAAATAGTTGAACCATCACTGTTGCCTCCCAGGTGCAGGTTAGCAGGAAGCTGGAATCAGAAGCAGGGCTGAGATTCAACCCAGGCTCCTGGATTTGTGATGCAAATGTCGTAAGTGGCATCTTAACTCTCAGGCCAGACTTCCCCCTGAGAAAACTGCTGAACAGTGATCATCCTACTCTGTTGAAACTGACAAATTTTTTATTTTTTAACTGACAAATCATACTTTTTTTTAGATGAATAGAATTGGTGTTTTTGTGGAGAAATGTGGCTTAGTTACAGATCTATTTGGAATTTAGTTTTCTTTCTATATATCCCTGCTTGTTTAATTCTAATATAATTTTTAATTATTTTCTTCAGATTCTCAGATACTTTACGAATTCTAACATGTGACACACCTCAGAATAAAAGAAAGCGAATGAAGCACTTTAATAGTACCAGCCCTTCAGGTAATTTTAAAAGTAATTTTCTATAGAATTTAATGATTAAAAACTCACTTTGCGTTAAAAGGTCATACAACTTAAGTATTCATCTCTGCTGATTACTGGAGATTACTTTGAGGTTGCTATTCAAAGTGAAAAATGGTTTTTAAGATTATTATTAAAGTATTTACTAGTTTTCATTGTATGGAATTTTTCAAAACAGTATAAGGTGATTAGATTTTTTGATAAACACATATGAAAATAAAGTAAAAATTCTCTTTACGCTTTTGTCCGCAGTCCAAGAGGGGGACCCTGCAGTAGTTTGCTACTTGGTCCTGCAGAGCTCCCCCTGTATTTTCAGTAGAGGGAGAGCTTCCTCATGCTTGTAGTGACTGCACAGTTTTTGTAGAACGGCCCTATCAGGATTTACCCATGCTCGTCCTGAAGAAGTGCGGATTTTTCTCTTAAGGTTCCTTACATAAACCCTCCAGTAAATATTTTTATTAATATGTTTCAGTATATTGCTTTATTGTAAGTAGGGAAAAACAAAAATAATTAAAGGTACAACAAAATTGGATTGGTGACATACCAATATTCTGTAGCCATTAAATTTAAATTTATAAAGCCTATATAATATGTAAAATACCCATTTATGATAAGATACAAAAGGCACTAAAATTTCATATGGTATGACCACAAGTTAGTGTAACTTTTTTGGTAGATTTAACAGTTTATTATGGTTTTGGTCATTGAAAACAACCCATTCAACCATGTGCCACCTGCTTGGTGCAGTAGGAGTCAGATTGTTGCTTGAAACTCTGATAGCCCACGTTGGAATGCCGGGTTTGGGTTCCTGCTACTCCACCCCGATCCTGCTTCCTGCCAGTAAGCGTCCTCAGAGGCAGCCAGTAACGGCTCCAGTACTTGAGTCCCAGCTGGGAAACCCAGGTGGAGTTCTGAGCTCCTGCCTTCAGCCTCGCTCAGACCTGAGGCATCGGGGAGTGAACCAGGGAATAGAGGATCTCTCTGTCTCAGTGCCTTTCAAATAAAGTGGAAATAAATAAAAATCCTTAAGAGCGGTATGCAAAAAGTCTGCAAAATAATCTGTACTTTAAACATGTTTAAATGGTTATCTGAAATTCTGGCTTGTTCAGTAGCTTTGTTATTACATCACAGCAGCCAATGATCGTTTGCTTCAGTTGGAATATGCCTCCTAAATCCAGCTTCATTGCAGATTCCAGCTTCCCTGTAACTTATGTCATTTGCCCTAGAAAACTTTTCTTTAGGGTTAAAATGGCTGTGTGAAGGGCATCTTCAAGTTTTCTTGAAAAGATATAATGGCAGAGCCGGCGCTGTGGCTCAGCTGCTTAATGCCCTGGCCAGGAGCACAGGCATCCCATATGGGTGCCGGTTCGAGTCCTGGCTGCTCCTTTTCTGATCCAGCTCTCTGCTATGGCCTGGGAAAGCAGTAGAAGATGGCCCAGGTCCTTGGGTCCCTGCACCCTTGTGGGAGACTCGAAGGAAGCTCCTGGCTCCTGGCTTCGGATCGGCCCAGCTCCAGCCGTTGTGGCCAACTGGGGGAGTGAACCAGTGGATGGAAGACCTCTCTCTCTCTGCCTCTCCTCTCTGTGTAATTCTGACTTTCAAATAAACAAACAAATCTTAAAAAAAAAAAAAAAAAAAGGCCGGTGCCACGGCTCACTAAGCTAATCCTCCGCCTGCGGCGCCAGTACCCCAGGTTCTAGTCCCGGTTGGGGCACCAGGTTCTGTCCCGGTTGCTCCTCTTCCAACCCAGCTCTCTGCTGTGGCCCGGGAGTGCAGTGGAGGATGGCCCAGGTGCTTGGGCCCTGCACCCGCAATGGAGACCAGGAGGAAGCACCCCGCTCCGGCTTCAGATCAGCGCAGCGCGCTGGCCGTAGCAGCCATTAGGGGGGTGAACCAATGGAAGAAAGACCTTTCTCTCTGTTTCTCTGTCTCTCACTAACTCTGCCTGTCTCAAAAAAAAAAAAAAAAGATATAATGGAAATCTGAAAGTTTTCCCATGCGCTTGGTTCTTTCCCATTGTTGTGGCTTTCCAGGCAAAGTAAGCTCCAGATGGTTCTGACTAAAATAAATATGGCTGCCTTTCATTCCAACCAAAATTAAGAAACTCCAGATAGACAGTACCTGACTGTGACTAAGTCTTGCATCCCAGAGCTCCTGTACCATTTGAGCTGTGGGAGTGGTTTCTTGGAAGACAAGAACATCTCCTCTTGCTAATGCCACAGCATTCACAGCTTTTTAGAATTTTATCAATTTTTATTTATTTGAAAGATTTTCCATCCATTGGTTCACTCCCCAAATGCTTGCGGCAGTTTGGGGTGGGCAGGCTGAAGTGAGAAGCCTGGAACTCCATCTGGGTCTCCCACGTGGTTGGTAGGGACTCTGATTCCTTGACCATCGTCTGCTGCTCTCTGGTCTGAGCATTAGCAGGACGCTGGAATCAGGAGTGTGGCGAGGACTTGAATGCAAGCGTTGTATGGGAGGTGAGCATCCCAGGCAGCACTTAACTGGTGCACCAAATGCCCATATGGTTTGCACCTCTAGTTCGCACTGAAGGAGCTCCTGCACCTACTGCAGCCAGAGCACATTCAGTGTGGACAAGTTGACCTGCCAGGCCGAAGGTGGCCAGTGAAGAGCTGCAGCCTGCTCCTCACATCCCTACACGTGGGAACTGCCTGGGTGACATTTTCTTACACATTTGTTTCCCCTGGTTGCTTAACATGTATTTCTTGACATTGATCTGGAACTCACTTCTCTCATTTTTACATTAATATATTTTCTTTATTTTTTTAAAGATTTATTTGAAAGGCAGAGTTAGAGAGGCAAAAACAGTGAGAGGGCCTTCAATTAGAGAGAGAGAGAGAGAATGAGAGAGAATGAGTCTTTAATCTGCTGGTTCATTGCCCAGATGTCGCAATGGCTGGAGCTGTGCCGATCGAAGCCAGGAGCTTCTTCCAGTCTCTCACAAGGGTATAAGGGCCCAATGATTTGGACCATTCTTCTACTGCTTTTCTAAGCCATAGCAGAGAGCTGGATCAGAAGTGGAGCAGCCAGGACTTGAACCAGTGCCCATATAGGAAGCTGGCACTGCAGGCTGCGGCTTTACCACTATGCCACAGTGCCAGCCCCCACATTAATATATTTTCTAAAATCTCTCCACTTATTTTCATAAGGGAAATATAGACTTCATTTTAAGAAAACTATTTGTCTTCAAAACTTAAATAGGGGGGCCAGTGCTGTGGCATAGTGGGTAAAGCTGCCACCTATAGAGCTGGCATCCCTTATGGGTGCCGGCTCGAGTCTTGGCTGCACCACTTCCGATCCAGCTCTCTGCTATGGCCTAGGAAAGCAGTGGAAGATGGCTCCAGTCCTTGGGCCTCTGAACCCACGTGGGAGATCAAGAAGATCCTGGCTCCTGGCTTTAGATCGGCCCAGCTCGTCATTGTGGCCACTTGGGGAGTGAACAAGTGGACGGAAGACCCCTCTGTGTCTCTGCCTCTCTGTAACTCTGCCTTTCAAGTAAAATACATCTTAAAAAAAATAAAAAAACTTAAATAGAATTTTATTTAATTTTGTTTATTTAAAAGGCAGAGCAACAGAGAGGTGGGTGGTGGGTGGGATGAGGGAGAGACATAATGATCTTGTTTTCATTGGTTCACCCGCACAAATGGCTACAACAGTCAAGTCTGGGGCAGGCTAAAGCCAGGGGCTAGGACATCCTGGTGTCCCAAATAGGTGCTTAGGCCATATTCTGCATAGGCACGTTAGCAGGAAGCTGGATTGGAGGCAAAGCAGCCCAGACTCACATCAGCACTCTGATACAGGATTCCAGTGTTGACAGTAGCAGCTTAGCCCACTGAGCTACAACATTAACCCCTCCATGAAGTTTTAAATGCATCATTCTACATTACAATAGAGTTTTAGGTACAAATATAATTGAACTGTTAGTGCCCCCTAAAGACCACAGGGAACACACCCATAGCAAGCAAGTTGAGTCAGTTAGTCCTGGAAACAGTGGGAGGCTGCTTTGTAGGAAGGTTGGGCTTGTTCTGAGTTGGGTGTTGTCAGGGACAGTTCTGGGTAGCTCTGTAGCTGTTATCTAGAATGCAGGCGGGCTAGAGGGAAACTGAAGCTATGGTGGTACGGCCACAGCAGTTGGCCAGAGTAGGGGGCCAGTTGGTGATTTTTGTGGTTTGCAAAATGCTCATGTTCTGACTGTTCAGACATGATTACAGAGTGCTCTCGTTTTAGTCGTGAGTCCTCATGACCACAGAGTGGCCTTATCAATGTTATCTACTTCCCTGTAGGATAAAAGAACCTATGAGCTAACTGCAAATTGCCAAACCACCCCCCCGCCCAAAAAAACACCCACCCAAACTGGAAGGGTTGCAAAACCCGTAACTGTTCTAAACAGCAACTTAAAATTTAAGTTCTCAACTTTCAGATGTTACAATTTTTAAATAATTCTTCTCTGTTGCAGTAGGAACCATCGAAGGTTTTCAGTGTTCACCCTACCCTGAAGTCGATCAGTTTGTTCTTTCCTTGGTGACTAAAAATGACATTAAAGGAGGTACAACTCATCTTATTTTTTATTAACTGTTATATGATAGAGTCATGATATCTTTAGAAACATTCTTATATTTTAGGAATTAGGCGTTGGAGCTACTTTTTCCCAGAACAGTTGTTGGTTTATGATATTTTCAAATATCGCTGGTGTGAGAACATTGGAAGAGCCCACAAGAGTAATAACATCATGTAAGTAATTTTGTTTATTAATGCTGAGATGTATTCTGAATGTTTATAACTTTTTTTTTTAAAGATTGTTTTTAAATTTATTTGAGAGGCAGAGTTAGAGAGATGGAGAGACAGAGGTCTTCCATCCACTGGTTCACTCCCCAAAAGGCTGCAATGGCAGGAACAGAGGTGATGAGGAGCCTGGAGCCAGAAGCTTCTTCTGAGTCTCGTACATAGAAGCAGGGGTCCACTGCTTTCCCAGGCCATAAGCAGGGAGCTGGATCGGAAGAGAGGTAGCCAGGACACAACTGGTGCCCATTTGGGATGCTGATGCTGCAGGTGGAAGCTTAGCCTACTAAGCCACAGCACTGGCCCCATGTTTACAACTTTGAAATAAAGCTGACAATATAAAAATGTAACAAGTTAAACTAATTAGATTATTACATTTGTTGGGGTTTATAATATTCAGAGATCTTATTACATTGCTTCTAACATATGGCAGCTTTATTTGTCCTTTGATAAAATGGCATAGTCTATAATCTTGAAGACTGAAGTAGATTGACTAAAAAGCAAGCAGCAGGCAGGGAGTGGATGTGATGAAAAGGGTGTTCTAGATACCTGTGGAAGTGATTGAAACTGGGCCGATTATGGCAAGACGACAACTCCTCAGTGCTACAGAGCTGGAGGTTAAGGCTGTGTTAACTGCATATAGATAAATCACACATTACTGAGCTACTGGATGCTTGTTAGAAATGCCAGGCCCTGTTTTAGGTAATTTTTTAAAATGCTCCTGGCAAAACAAGAGGAAGTAAAAAGATGAAGTAAAACTAGAAATATAATTTAAAATAATAAAGGGATATAGACAGAAGGGGAATAAAACAGAAATCTAGTTACAACATGGGAAATGTTAATGTCAAAGCTGATACTCTTACATAGCACATGTGCTAGAAGGGGGAGATGATCCAAGTGTGTGTTGGAAAATGTGTGGCATGATTCAGTGCTATGGTTGATATTCTTAAATGAAAAACAATCTTGAAAAGCTCTATTCTTGGGCCACTGTTGTGGCCTAGCACAGTAAGCTGCAGCTTGCAGTGCTGCTGTTCCATGCCAGAGCACCAGTTCAAGTCCTGGCTGCTCTCCTGTCCGTCTAAAGCGCCTGGGAAAGCAGCAGATGGCCCAAGAGCTTGGGTCTGTCACCCGTGAGGGAGATCTGGGTGGAGTTCTAGGCTCCTGGCTTTGGCAGTTTGTAGCCACACTGGGAAAGGGCCAGTGTGGATAGAAATCTCTGTTGCTTCCATGTGTGTTTCCCTCTCTCCCTCCCTCTCTTTAAAAATAAATAAATCTTAGAATTATATGCTCAATACACCAAGCTGTCACCAAAAAAGATCCCCACAGTCCTATAACCCAGTGAAAACTAGTTAGCACTGATGCATCTTTCTAGTCTTCTGTGCGTGGACATTTACCAAAAAAATAAGATTATATCCAATTATTTTTAGCTGTGAAATATTACATGTAATAGTATGTATATGTGTAAGTAATATGCGCCTCTTAAAGACCAATGCTCAAATTCCATTTTGTGCAATTTGATGGACACAGGGAGAGAGCTATCTTTTGGGGAGATCTTCTGTCAGTGTGTGCGTTTTCCTCCTGAAGTCCATTTTGTGTGATATTTTAGGCAACTGGTTTTGTTTGTTGTGTATCTTGTTTTTACTTTTTAGTTGAAGATTTAGTCATGTTTCTTCTAGACAGCATTGAGTTGGATTTAATTTTCTATACAGCTTAGGTATTAATACTTTTCTTTTTTTAAACAAAGGATTCTGGTTGATCTGAAAAATGAAGTTTGGTATCAAAAATGTCATGATCCTATATGTAAAGCAGAAAACTTCAAAACTGACTGTGAGTTATTAATTTTTACATTTACCATAAAGTAAAAGTTAATGTTTACATAAAAATAGTTTTACTATCTTTCTGATTCAGGTTTGCCATTACCTGCTGAAGTGTGTCTTTTGTTTCTTTTCAAAGAGGTAAGTGCAGTTTTGTATCATTGTCATTACTAAGTCTTGGTATTATAGTATAAATGAACCAGGAGCAGTGTCACTAAGCTTTTTTTTTTTGACAGGCAGAGTTAGGGAGAGAGAGAAAGGTCTTTCTTCTGTTGGTTCACCCCCCAAATGGCTGCCATGGCCAGCACGCTGCGCCGCGCCAAAGCCAGGTGCTTCCTCCCAGTCTCCCATGCGGGTGCAGGGGCTCAAGCACCTGGGCCATCCTCCACTGCCTTCCCAGGCCACAGCAGAGAGCTGGAAGAGGAGCAGCCAGGACTAGAACCCAGGGTGCCAGCACCACAGGCGGAGGATTAGCCTAGTGAGCCGTGGCACCCGCCTCCACTAAGCTTTTTAAGCACAATGTTTGTAACACATTGTTTTCACTTGAAGATCCATCTTGGTGATTTTCCTACCTCAGTATATATTTAATGACACATACCTCACTCTTTACTGCATAAGACTTAGTACACTTTAACCAGTCCTAGACATTAAAGAGGTTTCTGGTTGTATAAACCAAAATACCCTTCTTTATTTCTGGCACAGTGCTTGCAGCAGACATATCAGAGTGCCCAGTTCTTGTCTGCCTCCTCTGCTTCCTGCAGCCCACATGGGAGATCTGGATTGCATTCCAGGTTCTTGGCCTAGCCCTGGCTGTTATGGTTATTTGGGGGGAATGAACTAGTAGATGTGGGATCTTTGTGACTCTGCCTTTCAAATAAAAAAATTGCATATACCCTTTGCTGCCATTTTTTCCCCCAAAGATTTATTTGAAAGTCAGAGTTACACAGAGAGAGGTCTTCCATCTGCTGGTTCACTCCCCAACTGGCTACAACAGCCAGAACTGCGCCAATACGAAGCCAGGAGCCTCTTCTGGGTCTCCCACGAGGGTGCAGGGGCCCAAGTACTTGGGCCATCTTCCACTGCTTTCCCGGGCCACAGCAGAGAGCTGGATCTCAAACTGGTGTCCATAGGGGATACTGGCACTGCAGGTAGCAGCTTCACCCACTATGCCAGCAGTTTTAATCGTGGTTTGACAATCCAATAATACCACCAAAATTTCTTTCAAAGATCTTTATTTGCCCAAATAATTTAAAATCTTCCTCATAATATTACAACATTTTTATCTGGGCTCATATTTTTAAAACCAGTAAGTATACATAATACTCTGTGGGGCCTTTCCTTTTTAAGGTGTATTTGAGAGACTGAAGTCTTCCATCCACTCCCCAAATGGCTGCAACAGCTGCTTCTGGGTCTCCCACGTGGTGCAGGGCCCAGCTGGGACTTGAACCAGTGCCCCTACAGGATGCTGGTGCCCCAGGCGGAGGCTCCACACCTAATTTAAGGAAATTTAACATCACTATTATCTCATGTAAGCCTTAGTGATTAGTCCTTGGCAGTTTGTCTTTAACAGGTACACAGGCCACTTGAACAGGTAAGTCTGTCCTTGCTGTAGCACCTGCTGGGGATGCTGAAACATCTGTGCCACAGAACTGCAGGCAGTTTCAAATGGGGAGTCTAAGGAGTATCTGAGCCAACTCCAGAAACAGTTAATATTCTCACTCCTATCGAACTGGTCTTAAGATCTTAATATGTGGTGATTTCATTATATATTCAGTCTATGTAGAATTACAACTAGATTTTTTTTTTAAAGGAAGAAGAATTTACAACAGATGAAACTAGGAACCATGAAACCACGAGCCCTCATAAACCATCCCCAGGTGCATCCTCTGACCCTGGCTGGGACAATGGCATGGATGATGCTTGCTTTTTAGAAGCCACTGAAGATGCTGAATTAGCAGAGGCTGCAGAGAGCAGTCTTCTGAGTCACAGTAGTGGAGTGGATGAGATTCCTGATGACCTCATTATGGAAGTATTACAAGAGTAGCCAACTGTGGACATTACATAAGCAGCTGTAATCTGCGAGATTTGTAACAAAAAATTATATTCAGTCTGTCAAATGTTACTTGGAAAATAATGTAAGTAAATCAATTTTATTGGAAATTAACTGTAGTATTTAGTCTATGTTCATTGTCTTAATTTTACAGGTTAAAACATACATGTTTGGGGCTGATTCAGATAGGGTTTCAACATTTTTAAATTACTCAAGACATTATCCTAAAAGGATCATGGCCTCTAAAACTATTAATCAGTACTAAATCCTGGGGACTGGACCCTACTTGTTTTCAGAGGCCGCAGGGGAGTAAGTTGGCACATTTCAGTACGGCTGTCTCCTCAGTGCTGGTCAAGGAGATTCTCTAATTGGTGGTTGATATTTTGCAAATGATTTTCAGCTCCCAAAAAGGTTCTTGCTTTAAATAACAGAGCTGGAAGGCTGGATGAATCATACTGTTGAAAGAAAATAATTCAGATTAGCTAATATCAAAAACTCTTACAATCCTGTCTTTACATAGTTCAATCTGAAACCAATGGAAAAGATCTAACTTGTCAACTCCTCTTCCTTTCACTTTTACAATTGGTTTTAATTCATTTCCTTAGGATAGAATTCGTAGAACGTTGCAAAGGAGTGGCTCTGTACATCTGAGTGCCTGGGGCAGGTCAAGACTTGGTTTGAGCAAGTCTGTCTGATCTCATGTCTATTTTAAAACACACAACAAAAAACATTAGGCAGGTTTACTTTTACTGGAAGAACCAAAGGATGAGAACACCCAGCTTATAATAGCTCATAAGGGAAAAAAAGCTCTAAATCCACTCTAAGAAAACTTTAATCATGGAACTGATCCTTCCAATAAGACAAAATTACTATGCAAGTCGAACAAAATCAACTCATGAGTTTAAACTAGTAAGCCAACCCAAACCTCCTGTTGCAAATTGATTAAATTCCTCTGTAGTTTTCTGACTACTACCTAGAAAACAGTGGATTTATGTTGAGAGAATTCAAGAGCCTAATTAAGACACTAAGCACCTGCTCTGAGGGAGTGGAGGGAGGAGAACTTGCTTGGTGCTACAGGTTTAGTTTAGGAAAAGAGGTGAGGCCGAGAACACAGCTGGGAGTGGTATGGTCTAAAGGTACAGTCGCTGAATTTGTTTTAATGAAAGTGGTTGCTATTTTTCTAAATTTAATAACCAAGTCCACTTAAGCTTTAGACTAGTTAGGTACTTTGGGCTCAGGAAAACTGCATCAGTGTCAAAATTTAAAGCTGAATTTAGAAAACAAATCTGGTAACATTTTATGTAAAATTATACTAGGTGGACAACTTAAAGTGTATATTAAAAAGTCCAAAAATGGGGGCCACTGCTGTGGCCTAACAGCATCCCATATGAGCACCAGTTCATGTCCCGGCTGCTCCCTGCTGATGGCCTGGGAAAAGCAGTGGGAGACCCACGTGAAGGTCCTGGCCCAGCACTGGCTGTTGCAGCCGTCTGGGGGCGTGAACCACTAGAGGGAAGATCTGTCTCTCCTCTACCTGTGACTTTCAAATAAATTTTGTAGTTACTTTATTAATCCAATAATATTGCTTTTTCTTGCCATTTATAGATAATGGCTTTTTAGATACATGTACCAAGAACATGAGCTAGACATAAAAAATGTGGTTGTGCAAAGCCTACTCTTCCCTTATTGAACTCAGTGAGCCCGGGTTTTCCTGTACTGCTGCAGCTCCCCTCCTGAGGCAGAGTCGAAAGTAAAAAAACTCCAAGTTACCGTTTCCTTTGTGTCTGGTTCTTTCTCTTGAAGATCTGAGTACTCGTGATAGAGCTGTTTTAAATTAGATAGGAAATCTGCTGCCGTCCTCAGGGATGACTTTCTCTCCTTAAGTTCGTCGTATTTTGTTTGTAGCTGTATCAGCTGGGGCTCTAACCTAGAGCGAAAAGAAGTACACCGGGTGAAGGATGGAACACCAGGGTGGTGGCTGCTCCGTCTACCTTCAGCTCTGACAGCAGGAATGCATGAAAGGCTCCGGGTTTCAATTTGAAATGTAGGAGAAAGGCAGCTTTCAGCCTCGCAGATGAGCCGCTGGGGCCAGCTGCGTCAGCTCTCAGAGAGAACTTGGATCTTATAGACAAAGGGAATAGAAAAGGAGTTTTATTTTGTTACATAAAAAAATGCTAACTAAACTCTTGTCTACTATGATGTCACAACATAAGTCCTGTAAGCTGTCCTTTACAGTGGACAAGTGCAGCGTTTTGTTAGACTCACTACTGAGCTGGCAGAATTGGGGTCTGACAGCGAATCCTAGCTCCCCCACTTCTGTGGGGTTTGACTGTTGGTATGTTACCTCTCCGTGCCTAGTTTTCCCAACGTAAAGTTAAAACAATAATATACCTCTCCAGTAGAAAAGGAACTAAAGAAGTGTGTTTTTAAAATATGTAATGAAGCCTTATCACCAGAGATAATAACCTCCCTCAGTGATGACAGGGATGATCAAAGGGTGAAATCAGGAAAGCGCCCCGCACCCAGGGGACTGCTAGATGTAGGCTGTCGTATTACCTTGGCTGTTCTTAGCTGTAGCCTGGGCCAGCACCTGTCTGTAGTCTAAATTTGGAAACCAAAGGACTAGACAACCAATTCTCCCTCTTCAACTCCTGCGACAGTACTTTGTGCTTCACTGTCTTTTCTACCGGCCTTTCTCAGCTGCCGTACACCTTCAGAGCAGACAGCCTCCCTGGTACTGCTTTACTATCAAACTCCCAGCTCACGCAACAGGTACAGAAGAGCAGGAAGAAACACTTGCAGGCTGCTGTGGGCTCCAGTCTTTGCAACCAGACCCCGGCTGGCCAGTTCTGGGACCGTCTGGTCCAGCCTCTGGGAATGTGGATTCACATGAGTGCCATCCACGGTGTTTGTGTTTCACCAACACCAACTGCCAACATTTATACAGCACTTAACCATAACACCCAATGGTCTGTTAGATAGCATTACGCCTTTATACTAAAGAGGGAACGGAGTTATTAACAGGTTAAGTGACTTGGTTAAAGTTGCACGGGCAGTGAGGGGCCGAGCCTGGATTCAAAGCCAGGCAGTCTAACTGCATTAATTTATGCATGAATTTAATTGGGGTGCCTCTCAGGCCACAGCTGAGAGAAGTCGGGACATCAGTGGCAAATCCTCCCTTGCTAATGGGGGCTACAGCGACGTAGCATAACCTGCCCTCACTGAGCATCCAAATTCAAAGATAACCTGGAGTTTTCGTATGGCACAGCAGCAAGTATTAACGCCTCCCGATGACGTAGCACACTTGGGTTCCTTGAGGTATGTTCTGTCACAGGACTGTTGCTATCTTACCGAAGCAGTTCATCCTGGACTTCAACCAAACGCTGCCTTTTCTTCTTGATATCTGCAATCACCTAAGTAAGAGTAATTTCTTTGTTAATTTTGTGATGTGTACCGCCAGGAAAAGAGGGAACCTTGGAATAGTGTGGGTGGGGGATCTACTTCAGGATGATCTGGAGAAGGTGAGGGGCTAGATCCTCAGTAGATCCCATGAGCTAGACAGATGTGATCTTGCAGGACAGTGTTGTGATGTTTTGTATTTTTTTTTTTTTTTTTGACAGAGTGGACAGTGAGAGAGACAGAGAGAAAGGTCTTCCTTTGCTGTTGGTTCACCCTCCAATGGCCGCTGCAGCCGGCACACCGCACTGATCCGATGGTAGGAGCCAGGTGCTTCTCCTGGTCTCCCATGGGGTGCAGGGCCCAAGGGCTTGGGCCATCCTCCACTGCACTCCCTGGCCACAGCAGAGAGCTGGCCTGGAAGAGGGGCAACCGGGACAGAATCCAGCATGCCGGCGCCGCAAGGCGGAGGACTAGCCTAATGAGCCGTGGCGCCAGCCTCTGTTTTGTATTTTTAAAACTATTTCAATAAGTTTTCTTATCTCAGAGGTCTCATTAGTCACTACCTAAAACTCTGCTGTTGGACATCCATAAACAATGTAGAAATGACCAAAATGAGATTACAGTTGAAAGAAAAAAAGATGTGTAATTGCCAGAAGACAAATGTATATTTCTCAAGGTCATTTCTGTTACCAATGCAGAGGAACAGTGACTTTGCACTCCTGGATTCGTGGAAGTTTGGTGGTGCAACCTCTGAGGTCATTCGGTCCATTCATTCACAAACAAGCAAAGGGGAATCCCGTGTTCACTGGCTTGTTTCCCACTGCTGCCTACTGAGGGGGCAGAGCCAGGACTACAGGTGAGGTCTTAGGACTCCTAACCTGGTGTTCTTCCCGGCTGCCCTTTTGCCTTAGACAGTGCTCTAAAAGGTTTTGCTTTTTGACACTCACAAAAGCAATAAATGTACATTACTCAACATGTACCCATATAAGGGACCATTTTGGACGTTGATAGCCATTTTTAGACCAACTGAGACATCTTTCAAAAAGATTTAATAGCACTTCCTTGAACATCAACCAAATAAGAGTCTAAAAAGATAAAAATTCTTACACAAAATTCTAAAGGCAGCAAACCCCAAAGTCAGGTCCTAACCACCTGTGTTAGTATCGTGTAGTCACATCACCCTAATTGCTGACGTCACTTACTTTAGCGTTCTTCCTTTTCAGATTTTTCAACATCTGGGCTTCTTTAAGCTGTATGAAACGAAAGATAATTCCTGTGCATTTCCCAAGATTAATCATTTTGACATAGGTTACATTTAATTTAAAAATAGCATGTAAAATATGAGTAGTGCTAATGACTTTATTACCATATTGCCAGAAAATGCAAGCTTTTCTATGCTAACAGCATACTGCCTCAGGATAAGCTGAAAAACCTAAGGCCAAGAAATTTGTCAGTGAGCTTACCATTTTGATGAGTTCTTTAATATTACAATGAAATTTATTGATGGCTTCTTTACAAATTTTAGATTCTATTCTTTCTCTGTAGAGGAGTTAAAAAAAGGGATCAAATTAGGTATCATGAAGGATTTTGAAATGTGTTTCTCCGGCTTAGCATATGTAATATACATGCACAACTTGGCATGTACCATTTAAAAAAATTTAAGATGTAATATTCAGCCTGTGGTACTTTCTCAGACAATCTAGGAAACATGTCTCAGCAAAGAAAATGACCAGAAGTGCCCTTCACCAACGATGGGCAAGCCAGAGAGTGGTTGTGCCCAAGCTCACACTGTTAAGCAACCCTGCGGTTAGAACCACATCTGACGGCTCACCCCAGTGACCCAGGGACCCTCTTCAAATCACCTTAGCTGGACTACCTCCTTCCTCTTAGAACCATTAACTTAACGACTTTGGGGTTTAACATGCTGCATGAGTTTAGAGGCAAATCATAC